TGTTCCAAGTAGGTGCTTTAGACCACTGAGCCATCTCGCCAGCCCCTGGGTATGGTCTTGCATTCCTGTAATCCAAGTTCAAGGCCAGCCAGGGCCACATAGTGAGCTTAAGGCCAGCCAGAACTACACAGTGAGACCTTATATCAAAAAAACAAAACAAAAGTCATAGCCAATTGTTTGGGTTTTTTTTTTCTGCAGAACTGGGGATTGAACTCAGGCCCTTGCGCTTGCCAGGGAAGCGCTTATTCCACTGAGCCATCTCCCCGGCCCCACCAACTCTGTTTTGAAGGAGGCTCCTAACCTATTCAACTTCCCCAAGGGACAGTTTCTGTACTTGTTCTTAGCCAAAAGGCACAGAAGCAATCCCAAGGAGTAGTCTCTTCAAAAGAATAGGGAAAATTGTGATAATCCGGCAATAAAAACCTGACCTTTTCCATCATTTTCTCAAATGCTATCAAGTACTAAGCTCTAAAACTGAGAAATGTCTGAGCACAGCATGCAAGGGGAAGGGCAAGGTTTTAGAGGCTGCCCTTCTGTGGCAGTGGTACAAAAGCAGCACCCCGACAGAGGCAGCTGCTGAGCGGGAGGACAGAGTGTGAAGCATCTACAGCGCTCACTTGACTCGCTGATGAAGAAGATAGAGGACATTCCGAAGACTCCCCAGCGTTCTGTTTTCTGGGTTTAGTCTGTGACGTCCAAACTGAGGGAGAAATAAAAATAATGATAAAAAGTCATTATTTATTGCTGCTTCTTTTTTCATCTTAATTTCTTCCTGGAGAGGAAATTACTTTGGAGCAGTACCTTATAGCATCCAATAATAAAATACCCAATTGGCCCCTTAAATTTCATTAATCTATTTTTCAATTAAATAAGTGAAATATTTTGATGAAATAAATCAAAATATAAAATACTTTTCATTAAATCCAAGTACAAGAAAGTGGGTTTGGAAGCAGTTCCTGAGGGTTGAATTCAGAGCCTGTGCACGCTAAGCACACACTCCACTACTGAGCTATGTGTCCAGCCCCAAGAATTATTTTAACAGAGAATTATGGGGAAAATAATTACATCTCCAGAGACAAAAACATGCCCAGGATGATGAGTTAGAGTTTCTGCAGTTTATACTCTTACATTAAATGTTATACTGTAAGCATATTAAAATATTTCTGTCTTAGGAGGCTGAAAAACAGGAGGATCATTACGAGTCCAACCTGTGTGGTGAGAATCTATAGACGCTGTACTAAATACATAAAAAAAAAAAAAGAAAGAAAATGTTTCTGTGAATACTACTAAATTCCTTTCTGTTCTATTAAGTATCAGTTTTAAAAATGCTTCAGCAGGGACGGCCAGACAGCTCAGTGGACTAAAGTGCCTGCCTTCAGTGGGCAGGGTTTGATCCCCATTGTGTTGTGCCTTTCCCGCCTCTGGGTGAACTTTGATGCAATTGAGACTGGGCATAGTGGGGTGCGCCCGTAATCCCAGCACTTGGGCGGCTGAAAACAGGAGGATCACTACGAGTCTGATCTATGTAGTGTGACCCTTGTAGACCTTATACTAAAATACATTTAAAAAAAAATACTTCAGCAATACTTTTAAGTGAAATTAACACATTTTTAAAATTGAAATACTCTAACCACCTCATTTTATCTAGCAATAAGTCCTTGGAATCCTTTCTCCAGAATATTTTTTTTTTCTTTTCTTTCCTATTCTTTTTGTTTTTCATGGTGGCACTGGGTTGGAATTCACTGCTGCATGCATGCCAGGCAAGTGCTCCCCCCACTGAGCTACACCTCCAGCCCCAGAACTGATCTTGCATCTGTCCACTCCCTGTCTCTCCTCTCCACTGCTGCCACCCTGGCCTAGGCTTCTCACTCCACTCACCTAGATTACTGAAATGGGCTCCTATCTGACCATCTCACCCCTCTTCACTTTTGATCAATTTACCAATGATAACCACATCAATTTTCTGAAATTGTGTCTGATCACATTACTATCCAGTTTAAAGCCCTTCAGAGGCTTCCCACTGTCCTGAGAAGAAAATTCTACCTACACTTTTCACGCCAGCTACCTGCTCTTGTTCCAGTCTCACCCTGCACGAGCCACTCTGCGGTCACAGAGGTCCCCTTTCCGGTCCCATGAGCCCTAGGGCTTGGAAGCCGTGACCCCCATTCCTGAAATGTATTTTCCATCCCTTTGCATGGCTGGGTCTTTATCTTTCCTTGAATCTTTTTTTTTTTTTAATTTTATTTACTTTTTTAAATTTTATTTATTTATTTGTGTGTGTGTGTGTGGCCAGCTCAGCCCACCAGGGGGCGGGCTGGCTGGCATGTGGTGCTGGGGGATTGAACCGCGGTCCCTGTGCTTTGCTAAGCTTGTTCTAAGTAGGTGCTGTAGACCACTGAGCCATCTCACCAGCCCCTTTCCTTGAATCTTGATTTAACAATGTCTTTGTAAGGCCAGGGAGATGGCTTAGTGGAATAAGCACTTCCCTGGCAAGTGCAAGGGCCTGAGTTCAATTCCCAGTTTCGCAAAAAAAAAAAATAAAAAATGCAAAAATGTCTTTCCAAGAAACTATATAACGCTGTTTACTTCTTTGATAGTTGTCTTAATCTGTAATTACCTATTTATTTATTTACTTTCATTAGTTTGCATATTCATAGTACATAAGGTTTGCTTTCCTTGTACAAAATTGGTGCATGCCTACAGCACATCTTAATTCTTTTATTCATTCCCTTTCTCTCCCTTCTGTCTCCTGATTTCCTTCCCACTTGAAAAAGATTTATCTCTGTATTTATCTATTATTTATGTCACTCTCTACTTACAATTTGGGTTTCTCATATAAGGAAAACTATGTTAATATTTGAGCTTATGTGTCCGATTTCACTTTGTAATTACCTATTTATTTCACTGATTTACCTGTTCATTCTCCCTGCCAGCTCTATCAGGGCAGGGATTATGACTACTTTAGTCAATACCGGGTACCTAACGCCTCACAAAGAGTGGACTGCTTAATACATATTTGAAAATGTTTTGAAAAGCTAAATCATGAATTTCTCCCAAATGAACTAAAAATAATTAACCTCTGAGTTTTGCAAAAATGAATTTCAATCCATACCAAATAAAAGCCAAGGAATAGCAAGCCTTATTATTTTTTTGTATTTAGTACAGGGTCTACAGGGTCTCACTACACAGATCAAAGTCATAGTGATTCTCCTGTTTTCACACTTCCAAGCACTGGGATTACAGACGAATGCTACCATGGCCAGTCCCAATCTCCCTCTCATTGTGCCCTAGGGGCAGGGCCAGCACGGCAGGCCAGGGATTGAATCCCAGTCCCTGCATCTGCCTAAGCAGGCACTTTGATCTGCTGAGCTATCTGGCTGGCCTAGCAAGCCTTATTCCTAGTGAAATAGGAACCAAAGGGAAAAATAGATTGGGAATACCCCGGCTAGCAACTTACTGCATTACCACTAAGATATTAAGATACTGAGATTTAAATAGAGACCATGTATTTTAGGGCACTTGACTCAATGCAGAGAGAAGCCCAGTACTCACTCTCAGAATTGACTGTACTGTCTGCAAGGGATAGGTGGCCGTGGTGGCAATTGCTTTGGCTATTGCACCAATGATGAATACATCCAAAGAAGAAAGCTGAAAGCAAAGAATATACCACATGAAACCAAAGAACTACCAGATACTATTAGTTGGCTGCTTTCAAACTAGAGATTACCTGCATCCGTTTCTTTAAAAGCTGCCGTTTTAAACCTTCATAGAACATGAACTGGATGGCAGGATTGAAGACCAACAGCAACGAGGGAAATGTGCCGTTCCACAAAGCCGAGACACCTTCATCTCGAATGATCTGGTGAAAAGCATC